GGATCTTCTGATCTTAGGGTTGCAAAGATCCATGGGCAAAGCGTGGATCCCTGGGGTTGCTCATTCACTCACCACTTCCCTAGGCAGGGGAGGCTCCCCTGGCTCCATGTTGTTCCTGGCTGTGCTGTCATCTTGCATTGGTTTTCTCTGTTCTCCATGGGTTGAGTTGTTTTCATGACGAATTCAAATGCATGTACCTGGGTGTTTCAGTTGTAGGTGCTGTATTTACTCCTCCCGCCTATTTCTCCTCATGATAGTGGCACACACTAGTTGCTTCTTTCAGTCATCCTGTTTTATCCCCAACTCCCCTTTTGTTTTTGAGATAGGGCCTCACTCTGTCACTCAGGTTGGAGTACAGCAGCACAATCGTGGCTCACTGTTGTCTTAACCTCCTGGGCTCAAGTGATCATCCCAACTCAGTGTCCCAAGTAGTTGGGACCACAGGCATGTGCCACCATACCCTACTAATTTTTTTTTTTTTTTTTTGTACAGAGGGGTTCTTACTATGCTGCCCAACCTGGTCTGAAACTCCTGGGCTAAAGCAATCCTCCTGCCCTGGCCTCCCAAAGTACTGGGATTACAGGTGTCAACCACTGCGCCCAGCCTTGCCTCTGCTTTCTAAGAAGACATTGGTGAACTTATTGACTAGATCAGAACAGAGCCCAGGTGCAGGTCTCTAGAAAATTCTTGTAAGACCAACACTCACAGAACACAGTAACTGTGCCCATCTGATGTCTATGATTCAGTCCACAATTCTCCATATGTCGACAACGCCAAGGTCCAAGGCCTTGCTGAAACTGCAGCACAGATACATCAGCACTCCCTGGTCTGCCAGGCCAGGCTGCTTCCTCATTCACCGTACTGCTGATTAACTGAGAGCCTCACTCTTCTTGTCTGTAAAATAAAGATGAGGATGATGGCAGTCTCAGAGGCTGCTGTGAGATGATGTATGTAAAGCACTTTGTGGCTCATAATTTAAGAGTGTCACCCAAATGGTGGTGGTTAGAAGTTGAAATCCTACCAAGGCAAGGCTGAGAGTCCGGAATGACTTGTTTCTTGTCATGTGGGTCTCCCCCATGATCACAACTTTCCATTCTCAGTGCTCACAAATCATCCACTTAATAATCTGTTCTAGAATTTTGCTAGAAATTTATTACAAGCTCAATGGCTTGTAGCTCATAAAACTAATCCTCTTCCCTCTTTGGGAAACTGAAGTAAAGCACCACACCTTGATCTATAACTGATGTGAGAGTAGTAGTACCCAGATTATGTAGAGAACTCCTGTAAATCAAGCGGAAAAAGATAAACAACCCAATAGAAAAACTGGCAAAGGACATGAATAAGCAATTCCCAGAAGAGGAAAACTGAATGGCCCATAAAAATTCAAAACCATGCTCAACTTCATCTGTAATCAGGGAAGCATGAATCAAAATCATGGTGAGCAACAATTTCACACCCTTTATTTTAGGAACTCTGTAAGTCTGACAGTTCTGAGGGCTGTGAGAATGTGGAGGAAGGGAACCCTTACACACTGCAGTGGAGTGAGAATCGGGACTTTCTGGCGAACAACAGCAAGTGAAGCGCAGACCCCACCCCTCAGCGAGACAACGCCCAGGTACACACCTGAGATAAGCTCAAATGTTCCAACGGCGTTGTTTATTAAGAGAAATGGTGCAAACAACTTACATGTTTATAATTTAAAAACGGATTAAGAAATCATAATATGTTTATGCAATGGAATACTACTTAGCAATTTAAGTGAATGAACATGAAAGAGGGTGGAAGGAAAGCTTCTAAGTCCTGGTAACCAACTGCTTAATTTTTTAAAACAAATAATGGTTCCATGGGTGTAACCACTTTAAAAAATTCCTTAAGCTGCACCTTTAAGATTTGTGAATTTTATTACTGGATATTATGCTCTAATAAAAAAGTGTACAAAAATAAGTGAATGTAAAATTCATGTGTCACATAGATGAATCTCAAAACCACAGGGTTCAAAAAACATGTTGCTGAAGGCATAAATCAGTTACATATGTTGCTGAAGGGATTAAATGAGTTACATAAAATATAGTATAGGTGAGCATGGTGGCTCACATCTGTAATCCCAGCACTTTGAGAGGCCGAAGTGGGAGGATCACTTGAGCCCAGAAGTTTGAGACCAGCTTGGGAAACATAATGAGACCCCCATCTCAACAACAACATTAAAAATTAGCTGGATGTGGTGGTGTGAGCCTGTGGTCCCAGCTACTCAAGAGGTTGAGGTAAGTGGGTGGATTGCTTGAGCCCAGGAGTTTGAGACTAGCCTGTGCAACATGGCAAAACTAGGTATAAAAAATGTTAAAATTAGCTGGGCGTGGTAGTGCGTGCTTGTAGTCTCAGTGCTGGGGAGGCTGAGGTGGGAGGATCACTTGAGCCCTGGAGGTTGAGGCTGGAGTGAACTGTGAGCATACCACTGCATCCAGTCTGCTGGGTGACAGACTGAGACCCTGTCCCAAAAAATGTGTGTGTGTGTGTGTGTGTGTGTGTGTGTGTGTAGTACCATTTATATAAAGTTTTAAAACTTGCACAACTATTCGATATGCCATTTATGAATATACACAGATGTGGCAAAATTGTACAAACAGGCAGGGAAGTGAGGAGGGAGCAAATGGGTGTAGAATGGCCACAGGCAACAAATAACTGAAACGTTTACGTCTTAATCTGGGCGGTGGGTACACAGGTATGTCATTGTTTTATTGTCTGTATTTTTGTATGAATATACCTTATTTAAAGCTTTTCAAAATAAAAAATCAGGACATATCACGTCTCTCTGCAGTCTTCTGGTTCCCTCTGTTTCCCCGGGATTCTCAAAGATAAATGTTGTCTGCCTTGTCCCCTGAAGCTGAGTGTTGTCTGCCATGTTTCTCATGCTGAGCGGAGGTAGTGGCTAAGAACATGAGCTCTGGAGCCAGGCTGCCTGGGTGCAAATCCCAGCTCTGCCGTTTGCCAGCTGTGTGACCTTGGGCAAGTGATTTAACCTCTCTGTGTCTCAATGTACTAATCTGTAAAGTGAGGATTATACCAAGACCTGTTGAATAGGGATGTTGATGGGATTAAATGAGTTGAAATGCCTGAAATGGTGTCTGCCGTTTTGTCTACACTAATGTGTCAGCTCTTATGATGGCCTTGCTAGGCCAGAAGTCTGGACTGTTGCAGAAGCTGAGTGCTACTTCAGTGTGAGCCTTCCTTTCCCTCTTAGCCTGTTCCACCCTCTCCAGCTCTCCTCCTTTTTAATTTTCTTTTTTAGAGATGGAGTCTTGCTCTGTCTCCCAGGCTGGAGTGCAGTGATGTGATCACAGCTCACTGTAGCCTCAAACTCCTGGATTCAAGCAATCCTCCCACCTCAGCCTTCGAGTAGCTAGTACTACAGGTGTGTGCCACCATGCCTATCTATTCTGTATATGGTCTTGCTATGTTGCTCAGCCTTATCTTGAACTCTTGGGCTCAAGCAATCCTCCCATCTCAGTCTCCCAAAGTGCTGAGATTACAGGCGTGTGCCACCAGGCCCAGCCTCCTGCCTTTCTCATAACAGAAGGCACAGAAACAAGAAAAAGCAGAGCATTCCCACAGTTCATTTTCCTCATGGTCCACCCCGAGTGAAAGGCCTAGAGCTTCTTCGCTTGCCTTTCTACTCTGCCTCACACTCTAGAATCCCACCGCTGTCACCTTAAGGGCTTTCCCTCAAGCCTGAGCACACTTGGGGCCTGGACTTCCTGACCTTCTGCTTCGGAAGCTACTCATTGTTTCATTGGGCCCACGTGATGTTTAAAATATTTTAAACAGCCGCCTATGTTTATAAATCAGGAGAGTTCCTATTACAGTCTGAACCTTAGTGTCTCTTGCAAAATGGAAAGATCTGACAACGTCAGGCCTATAGGGCATGTGGCTGAGTGACAGCCCCAGTGAAAGCAAACTCCACGGTCCTCCCTGCTGCCATACCCGGGCACCGCACACAGAGAGCAGGTGTGTCACGTGCGAGGCTCCTTGCCATGGTACCGGGGCCTGGAAGGTGCTTAGGCTCTGCTTGCTGAGCAGTGGCCCGAACATGGGGATGCCTGTCCCAGAAGAACGTCCCCATTGCATCAATGACACAGAGATGCCATATGGACCCAGGGCAGCTCTGTCTTGTTGCCTGGCCTGCTCTGGGCATCTGAGTTAGCAAGTACCACTTAGGTTGAAGGTCCCATGGCCTCTTTATCGTGCTGTTCTGTTCTGCCTCCCTCCTCCCACATTTAAAATGTGAGCTCCCTGATGGGCCGTCTGTAGCATGTATCTATCCATTAAGGTCCTATGAGGAAGCACCTGAAGGTGACTTTCCTTTGGGGAGAAAAATCTTTCATTGAAGTTAAACCTCTCATCCGAAGTTCCCTGAGATGTGAATCATCATCTGGGACACTCCAACAGCACCTGTGCTTTCACTACTGCCTTCCACACCTGGACAGCCACTCCCATCCCGAGGAGAGCCACCCAGGTGCTGGAGCAGGGGGAGGCTGTGGTGGAGCAAACGGGACAATAAAGGAGGGGGCAGGGACAGGGGGCAGCCGACCTTGCTGTCCCCTCTGGGAATGGCTGCTCTGAGGCCCCGAGATGTTGGCCGCCTCTGGGATTTCTCCATCATTGCATATGTCTGACCCTCTTCTGTTTTTCTCAGTGAATTGCCAATAAAATACCTTATGCCCAAGGGGTTGGATGCAGATTTGTAGGAATGGCAGGAAAAAAATTGAGCCTCAGGACTGTCCAACTCAGCCAGGGATTTGGAGAAGAGAGAAACCAAAAGCATGGCGGGTGTAGGTCTGATGAGGACCGGAACAGGACCTCACTCCAGGCCTGCGGAACACCAAGAGGAAGCAGGCCTGATCCAAGAAAGAGAGACCACAGGGCAGAACCAGCAGGACGCACGTCGGCTTCCAAAGGTGCCCTTTCCCCAACAATAGACTCATTCATATTTCTTTTTTTTTTTTTTGAAAAAAGCAGCAACTCTTTAGTGATCATGGAATTAACCTGACAGCAATTAAATGTGTTTAAGCATCTGGCATATCTCCTCAATTGCACCAAAAGAATTTGGAAGTACTTGGTTTGGTCTCAAAGGCAAAAGGAAAGGACAAGGAAGGGGCCCGGCTTCCCGCCAGGCCCCGCCCCCTCACATTTCCGAGTCCGCATACATCTCATTGATTAAGTAGTCCACCTGGGTGTAGTCCTTCTTCTTGTAGCTCTCATAGGCCTGCAGGGCAAACAAAACCAAGACTGTGATGAAAAGGGTCACTCCGAGTAACAGCACCACCAGGAGGATAGTTTTGTCCACCACGGCCTGGGTGAGGGGCTCGGTGGTGACCACCAGGTACTGGCCTTGGGTGCTGGGCTGGCACGAGTCCGTGGCTAGCATCTTAGGGCCCCCTGAGCTCCTGGGTGTTGGCCCAGTGGAATCAGTACTTGGTGTGGCTTCAGTCGCTACCTGCTCCGGTGCCTGGGGTGTACTTGGCCCAGCAGCTCTCTGGGTGTATGGCGTGGGGCTTGGCTGTGTCGTGGGGGATGTGGCCTCCACCTCAGGGATTCGGCTGGTGTGAGGCACTGGCACTGGGCTGGCAGTTGGCTCCTTGGCTTGTGCCTTGGTGGTGGTCACCACTGTGAGGTTGGGGGTGGGCTCTGGGGTTGTGTTAACCACAGGCTGGTCCACTGACACCTGGCTAATGAGACCTTGTGCTTGGGGATGCGTAGGGGCTGTAGGGCTTGCCGTGGTGTCACTGGGCATGTGCTTGGAAGGACTTGGCGGAGTGCTCATGGGGCTGCCCATGTTTGCTGTGGTGGCCACAGTCTGAGCATGTGTGGCCAACGTGGCCAGGGTTGCTGTTCTTGGCACCGTGCTGCTATTTGGCACTTGTGCGAGGGCTGTGCTGAGAGATGGATGCCCAGTGGCGGTAGCGGATGTGGATATGGGCGTGACGGGTACGAATGTCACGGGAGTGCTGGAGGCGGCAGTCGTGGGAGCATTGGAGGCCGCAGTCATACTGGAGGCCGCAGTCGTGGAAGCACTGGAGGCCGCAGTCATACTGGAGGCCTCAGTCGTGGGAGCACTGGAGGCCGCACCATCAGCTGCACTTCCTGAAGTTGCTGGTTCACTCAAGTCTGTCCTGCTTGTGTGCTCTGTTGTGACTTCCGCAGAGTTGAGGTGGGCTGCCGAAGTCCCTTTGGTCAACGTGACAGGAGAAGTTGCTGCAGTGGTTAGGCAGAAGTTTTATTGCTCCGACGTTTTATTATCAGCTGTTTCCACAGATGCATTCCTCTTGACTAATCCATTCCACATTTTGTTAGGGACAAAGTTGCGTGGATCCTTGGATGCCGCATGACTTTCTGATAAGGACAAGGAGAAAATCCAAATGACCACAAGAGCTGTCCACATCTTGCGCGTGAGCTGGGAGCAAGGTTGTGCGATTCCCTGAGGCTCCCAGCCAGCCAGCTCCTCAGGCTGCTACTAGTTCTCTCCTGCTTGGCCAAGGGATCAGAGGTCGCGGCTGAAGGCATGCCCCCAGCCTGGGCCGTCTTCCTCCTTGGAGAGCTGCGGGCTTGACACTGTGTCACCGGGCGAGGTCCGGCTTTGCAGGGGGTGAAAGCCACGTGGTGGGGCACTCCCGGGCCATGCCATCCTTTGTGGCACATGTGAGACGAAGGCAGACTCTCCACTCTGGTAACAGACGCATTCGGGCTCAGCAGGCCCGCGGCAGCCCGGCGGCCCTAGGACTGTAGAAAGGAGCCCGCGGCCCGGCGCGGGGACGTGGCTGGCAGCGCAACCTAGGCAGCTCCGGCAGCTCGCCCTGCTCGGGCCCCCGACTCGTTCATATTTCCCTGCTTGGAATTTTATTTCTGAGAAGCTCCCTTTTTTTTTTCTTGACTCTTTTCTCTTTTAGAATCACAGATCTGGAAACCCGCCATTCTAAATTCAGCAATTTCTAGCCCAAACATCAAAACGTCTTGCAGGGCCCCACATGAGGGTTGTGCTATCATTTATTCAGTGGAAGGTATGACTGGGGTTTATAGGGAATCAGGAGTCCTGGGAAATAACTCCACACCCCATCCCCAGCGTTAAGGTCACAGACACTTGACTCCTTTGGCCCAAATTAGATGCAGAGCGGAACTCTCTCCACTGCCTCTGAGAGTCCTTTTACCAAGTCCTCAGTGCTCAGAGGGGCCATGCTTTAACTGGGACTCTGCAAACTGGAGGGAAAAGAGGATCTGGGGACATGATTTCAAGCAGTTCGTGGTGGCATACAAAAAAAGTCTCTTTTACTTCTAGGTTTCAGGTTTAGTGCTTTTTGTACCTTCCATTCAAAAAACGAATTGCAAACCCAGTTATCAGACTTCAGCCAGGACTGAATACATGCTAAGGGACAGCTGTGGGGAGGGAGCGGCTGGCTGAGGAGAGCAGGGGAGGGTAGGAGTGACACAATGGTGAACAAGTGCGGACGATCTCTACCCCCACCCCCAGAGCGTGGCACAGGAGGAAACTTTAGCTTTCACGTATTGCTTGTCCTAATTAGGATAAAGTCTGCCTGTTGTTTCAGGAAAAATTAAGGAGAAAAGGTATCTTCTTGATTTTTAAAAATCTGTCAGAATATAGGTGGAAGTACTTACGGTAGAAACATAAAAGGCAATGCAAGTCTGATAATATCCTTTATACTTAATGAATGGACACAAATATGAATGGAAGCAGTTCATTCATATTTCTGCAGCTCTGAATTCCTATGGCTCAGACCCTTTTTCCCCTGTGAAGCTATTCTAGGACAGAAAAGGAATACATTTCAATTCTCTATGTCACCGTAGCAGAGATATTTCTGGCTCACCAAACAGCCATGTGCCCTCCCCGACTTCCTAGCCCCCTTGCAGTTAGGCATGGACAATGTGCTGTGAATACAGTGACAATGTGCTGTGTGCTCTTGGACAAAGGGCATTGTCTCTCTGCCACAGTGACCAGCAGTGCTCCATCAGCCTGGACTCCTGAGTGACCATACGAAGCAAAGGACTTCTCTACCCACAGCCCACATTGGCAGGGGCATGAACAAGAAAAAACTACTGTAATGAGTCATTGAAATTTGGAGGTCAATTTGAAATTGTATGAGCTTGGATAAGTAACTTAATCTAGTCTATTTAATCTAGCCTATTCTGATAATTCAGAAAATTATATTTATCAAAACACATATATACAACACACATATACACTCTTCCTCTGTCATCCCCCTGCATTTCCAAAGTTTAGGAAAACATATACATCTTTCAGGTCTTGTAATTACTTTCTCACAACACTGTCTCTACTGGCTATGACTAGATCTAGTTTTCTTTGTGGGGAAGAGATAAACATCAATGCAGACCGAGGTGAAAACGTGGAGAGGGAGAATGGAGATGGAATGAAAGCACAGCCAAAGGGCAAGCATTTTGAAAGGACGCCTGAGCATTTTGGGAGTGCTGATTTGCAAGAGTTGACAGTCATGTTGATTCTGAGGTCTTTTCAGTGGGAAGCTGGAGTGCAGAAGTAGGTTTTGTAGCAAGACTGGAGAATTAGTGGAAAGGTCTCTGCACCAGCTATCTGCAGACCCGAGTTCCCTGCCTCTATCCTTTCTGTACCATTTACCTTTTAAAGGAGATAATAATGCCCAGCATGGTGGCTCACACCTGTAATCCCAGCACTTTGGGAGGTTGAGGCGGGCAGATCACCTGAGGTCAGGAGTTTGAGGCCAGCCTGGCCAACATGGTGAAACCCCGTCTCTACTAAAAATATAAAAATTAGCCGCGCGTGGTGGTGGGCGCCTGTAATCCCAGCTACTTAGGAGGCTGAGGCAGGAGAATCATTTGAACCCAGGAGGCGGAGGTTGCCGTGAGCTGAGATCACACCACTGCACTCCAGCTTGGGCAACAGAGCATTACTCTGTCTCAAAAATAAATAAATAAATAAATAAATAAATAAATAAATAAATAAATAAATAGATAAATAAAAGGCAATAATAAAATCCAACACTTCCACAGTGATTTCAATGGGCCTGACACCATGCACAGTTTTTATGTATACTGGCTCATTTGAGCCTCCCCCAAACCCTTTGAAGTTGGTACTATTATTAACTGTCGGAGTAGACTTAAGTAACTGTCTCCAAAGAGATCAGATCCAAATTCCTAGAACCTGTCAAATGTGACCTTATCTGGAAAAAGGATCTTTGCAAGTGTTATTAATTTAAAAATCTTAAGGTAGGGGTGTTACCCTGAGTTATCCAGGTGGGCCCTAAATGCCATCAAGAGTGTCCTTATAAGAGAAATGTGGGGCATTATGGATGCACAGAGGAGGAGAATGCATTGTGACCGTGGAGGCAGAGACTGGAGGGCTGCAGCCTAAGCCAAGAGCCAAGGAATGCTGGCTCAGCTGGAAGCTGGGCCAGGCAAGGCAAGGATTCTCCCCTTAGCGACTCCGCAGGGAGTGTGGCCCCACCGGCACTTTTTTTTTTTTTTTTTTGAGAGGGAGTTTCGCTCTTGTTGCCTAGGCTGGAGTACAGAGGCACCATCTCAGCTCACTGCAACCTCCGCCTCCCAGGTTCAAACTATTCTTCTGCCTCAGCCTCCCCAGTAGCTGGGATTACAGGCATGTGCTACCACACCTGGCTAATTTCGTATTTTTAGTAGAGACGGGGTTTCACCATATTGGCCAGGCTGGTCTCAAACTCCTAACCTCATGATCCGCCCTCCTGGGCCTCCCAAAGTGCTGAGATTACAGGCGTGAGCCAACGCGCCCGGCCCCACCTGCACCTTTATTTCAGTCCAGTGATAGAGACTTCAGACTTTTGGTCTCCAGGTTTGTGACAGAATAAATTTCTGTCGTTTGAAGCCACCAAATTTGTGGTAATTTGTTATAAAGGTTGTAAATTTGTTACAGCAATCACAGGAAACTAGAATACCCCTATCCTGTAGATGAGGAAACGGAGGCACAAAAAGACGATTAACCTGCCTAGGTCCCCTGGGTGATGAGTAGCACTGTCAGATTTAAACCAGATCAGCGTGTCTTTGGGGTCTGGACTCTGAATGCCTCTGCCTGCTGCTAAGAGGACCTGGGAACTCAGCAGATGTTAAGACACTGTTGTGAGCAGGGCAAGCAGCATTGCTCAGAGGCAGAAGAGTCATCCAGGCTCCACCTCAGCGCCATGTTCTCTGGCAGTTAAGCCACTATCCTCAGACACTGGTGTTTCCCCAGTCTCTACAGGCCTGGTGGGCTTCAGGGTTTCCTCTGTCAGCTGCAGGTGATTCCCTGGATGGTCCACGTCCTCTACAGACGAGAACTACAGCAGCATGAGCCAGCACCTGGAGGAGAAGGGTTCCAGCTCCTCCTCGCTGCAGCACCTGGAGGTTTCCAGTGGGTTCTGGTCTGGAATGAAATCACTGAGAATAGGATTTATAAGTGATCTGTGGAAGAAAAAGTGAGAATAGACATCAGAATTTGGCTCTTCCTTAATAAAGACATAATTGCAAACCTATCGAGCCAGACAGGAGGCTGGCTGGCGCCATAGGGGAGCTGTTTTCCTGTACTGGTTGGCGCCAGGTGAGCATTGCTGGTCTTTGCCCTCTGCTAACACAGGTGCAACTTCCTTTTCTAGACAAGCAGAGAAAGTGTGCCAATTCAAATAACAGTGCCCAGGCTCCTTCATGCATTCGTACCTTTGGCTAATTCCTTATGACAGAGACCCCCTAATATCTGTTCTCCCCTTGTTGCTTCACAACAGAGCCCCTGGTGTGTAGCTGGGCACGTGGCTGCCCAGAATAAAGACCACATTTTCTAGCCTCCCTTGCAACTAGGTGAGTCATACAACTAATTTCTGGCTAACGGGATGCAGGTGGAACTGTGTGAGACTTTTAAGAAGCAACCTTAAAGTGAGGGGCATGCCCTTCTTCTCTCCACCCTCTTTCCTGCTGGCTAAAATCCAGACATAATGGCTGGAGCCCATGCAGCCATCTTGAAGCAATGAGGTGGAAGCCTCATGGTGAGGGTTGGTGGAACAGCAGGAGAGAAGCAGCTTCGGTCCTTGAAGCATGGGCGTAGACTACCTGCCTTCAGTCTTCTTTTACATGAGACCGCTGCTGTTTTGGGTTTAGCCAAAACTGATAACCTCTCTTTCCTCAACTGTAACAACCCTTATTTGTGACCTTGCTTAACCAGAGATTCGTTGTCTCCAAACCCCTCTAAGTTCAGCCAGCATCATTGTCCACACTAAGAGAAAGCAAAGAGAAGACATATGTAGTGGAAAGTGTTCTGATTCTGCCTTTATGAAAGATGAAGCCGAAATACAGAAGGTGTTTTAAGATAACTTTAAAGTCAGGCCTATTATGCCTCTGTCACCCATTTGTTGCACCTGAAATGCTTCATCATGTGGT